AACAACAACAACAACAACATAGTCTGAACTCATCGTAAGCACTTAGTTGGTTTATTTTTGCAGTGATAGATTGGATTTGTAAGAGCCTGGGCACTGGGGTTAAGTCTTACAGAATAGAGCCCACAGGATCTAGAAGTAAGAAATAAAAAAAGAAGTAAGAAATAATTAAAGTCTCTGTGAATGAGTCGTGCATGCTTTTGATCCATGTGGCAGAGCTCCGGACATGCTGGTTGGCCTTCTGTCAGGGTAGGATTCTAGGGTCAGGTGTGCAGTGTGGGAAGGCTGGACCCCAAGCTCTAATAGAGGTGTCTCTTTCATAGCCCCACATGGAAGTTAGAGGGCATTCCTACAATGTATTGTGAGAGACCTTAGCATTTGAACCTTCACGTACTAGGTTGGGACCATGTGATGAGTGCCTCACTGTGGCATGCATGCATCAAGGTTACCAAACTCTGATCTCCTTGCTTCATGTAAATATTATTGTGACTCTGTTTGGCTATCGTAATGCACTTGTTATATGTGCACTTTTAGTTCATCAAAGGGAATTTTGCATTTTAAAATATTTCTATTTCTATTTTTAAAGGATATAATGAACAGTGAGAAAAGTTATGACTCGTTGCCCAATTTTACGGCTGCTGACTGTAAGTACTGAGTGATGCTGGAGGAGGTGATATCGGGGTGTGCACTTGTCTGCTAGGGTCTCTGTTGTGTTTACCTTAAAACACGTTGGCAGGCTCACAACAGCCAACAGCATTGTTTGCGGGGATTTGATCCAGGGAAACCAGTTAGGTGTAAGATTTAATCTAAAAGTCTAAAACAGGAATATTTTGAAATGGTGTCAGAAAAATGGAACTAATCTGTATATGTTTAAAGAATGAAATCCTTTCTGTTACTTGGCTGTGTTAATTATCGGCACTTGGCTGTGTTAAATACCATAGGAAGGAAGAAAACTTTACAAGATTAGTTTTTACTAGAATAGTGTGCTGGCATTTTACTGTGTATGTATTTGAACTGTGACATAGTTCCATTGTTTAAGAAGGAAGTTTTGTTGAGATGTACACTTAGACATCTTAAAATTGGGAGGACTTCTGCTTTTTTAAAAAAAAAAAAGTTCTTCCTCCATGCCGTCAAGACCATCAGTTTCCACTCACCTCTCTCAAAGTGTAGTTTTCTTTTATATTTTATTTGAAGAATGTCTTTTAATTTCATGTTGGTTGACTTTGAGGAGATGAATAAAAACCTAAAGTTATTTCAGAAAGACATTTCAAGGTGTGTTAAACGTTTTTAAAGGGAGGCTCTTTCTTTCAGGTCTAAGACTCCTTGGCATAGGAAGAAACCAGTACATTGATCTTATGAATCAATGCAGATCCTCAAAAGTAAGCTGATCGCTACCCTGTTGCCATTCCTTGCCCTTTGTACCACATCATCTTATCCGGTTTTTAAAAATGTGGTAGAAATAATGAATTGGAATTCCTTGATCAAGTAACTAACATAGTCTTAATACAGAAATGGAGCCCTGGTGGCTAATAGAGGTGTCTCTTTCATAGCTGTGTAAGGAGCTGTGCTGCCAAATCAAAGGCATGCGGTTTGAATCCAGCAGCTGCTCCATGGCAGTAATATGGGCAGTCTCCTCCCATGTGCTTTACCTCTGAAAACCCACTGGAGGGTCAGCTGTGAGTCGGTTCTGACTTCTTAGCACCTAACAACAACGATACAGAAACAAAAATAACTTCAACTTCAGTATTCTTAAGACTTAGGTGCTATGGAATCAAAAGTATTTAAAGGTTTAAATTATTTTAAAAAATTTACTTTGCTGGTCTTTTTTTCTTGCACTTGCACATTCCCCTTCCCAGGCTCCACTTGAGTGGTACACTAAGTAAAGAAAATACACAATTGCCAAACACATCCTTTACCTCCTGGATTTCATCTCAGTTTCTGAATTTAGGGTTTGGCAGTTAAGTGTTTTGAAAAAAACTTAAGAATTATTATCTTCTTTTTCCTATATTGTTTAGAGTATTAAGAATATTAAAATAAGAGTTTTAAAAAGTTTATTTAGCTCATTAGCATGTGATGACTGAAAGAAGAAAATGGTAGTTGTAGGTGGACCATGAATGAAAGACTTTATCTTGTGTGATCTGTACCGTTGCAGAAGTTTTTCAGAAGGAAAACTGCCCGTGATCTCCTGCCAGTGAAGCCAGTGGACATTACCATCGAGGCATGGTGGGTGGTACAGGCAGGCTACATCACAGAGGATGACATAAAGGTAGAACTTTAGTTCATGTTTTTGTTTTTAAACTTATTTTTTATTATAGTTCTATAATTTAAAATAAAACACTGGTTCTCCTGAAGGACCTTAAATTGACCATTTAAAATAATCCTATACTAGACTAGAATATTGATAAGTTTCCATAGATAAAACTTTATTAGTGAGGGATACTGGGCTTGAGGCAACTTGATAGTGATTTGAGGTTATCAGAGAAATGTTTCAGGTCAAGCTGCATGTGATGCACCCATTCCTGGAACAGCAGTCATATTGGCTGACAGTTTTGGAGCACTTGCTGTGTGCCAGGGATGCCAAGACGCTATTCCAAATGCTTTTGTTATGGTTTCATATAATTCTCAGAGGTAGATACTACTCGTTCCCCTGTTTGATGTATGAGGAAAATGAACACAGAGAGATTAAATGACTACTCGAATAATGATGTTAGTGAAGATTATTTTAAGGATTTGAAGCCTCACACTTTGCGGTGCTGTGGTAAACAGTGGTTATTCTGATAGGATGATAGTGACAAGATCTAGATAGCAAACCACATTACATAGTAACCTTTGTGCATTTTAGAAGGGGTTGCTGATTTCGAAGAAAGGTAGGACGGTGAGTTGTGTAGGGACAAGCTTGTCTGTAGTCTAGCCTGCATATTGTTCTCCAAAAGACTGATGGGGGAAAGACTTGGTTAATGGGTTTTGCTTCCCGCTAAATCCTTCCTCACAGAACTGTCAAACTGTGTAGTAAGTTAGTGAACTTCCTGTTACTAAATAATAATGTGGTGCTTGAATGAAAGACCTGACTCTGCTTGTGAAATGAATAAATAGATTTATTAGTAAATACTACTTAAGAGCAGACATTGGTACTTAAAGGTACTTTGGTCTCTAAAGTCTCTTGGTAACATATTTTGGTTGTAGGCATTTTTTGGTTCCAGAGTGATAAAAGTCATGTGTGTTAGGGTGCTTGGGCAGTTTGTGCTGCTTGACTGATGTATAGTTGGTGGTCGGAATCTGCCCAGTGGCCCCTCGGAAGAAAGGCTTGATGATTGTCCATAAAGACTGAAGCCAAGAAAATCCAGTGAAGCAGTAACACGTGTGGTCACGATAGGTTGGAATTGACATTTTCTGAGGGTTTGGATTTGGGCTTTTCCCCCCCTAATGTATAGTTCATTTGAGTAATTAATAATTAGTTTAACTTGAATAGGCTTCAGGAGATATTTGACTACATTAATTGGACAGTTTTAATTGGAAATATTTTGCTTTTCCTAGATATGTACTATGCCTGAGAAATGTGCTGTTGACAAGATCATCGATTCCGGTCCTCAGCTCTCTGGATCACTAGATTACAATGTAGTACATAGTAAGTGGTTAGTAGAAAAGGTCTTCTGTCAACCTAAGAAGCTTGTTTTTAACCACCAGCGATTAATAATAGCAATTAATTCTCTACTAAGTATGTTTCCCAAGACATGTTATTATTTGAAATAGGACTTTATTTTCTTGTTTTCCAGTGTAACTATATTTCGTTTCATACATTGTTGTTACTAGTGCTTTCGAGTTGGAATCAGCTCACAGCTGACCCTTTCTGTGTTAGAAATGTAAACAATGAATAATAAGGATTTTTGTATTTCTGAGTATACATAGCAAATCAAAATGTAAAAACTTTAATATAGTTCTTTCCTATTATGTTTTAACTTCTCCCATTCCATCTTCACAATAACATTCATTTGTAAGACTTTTTACAGACACCAAAACTTGGAATTTTGTTACTGTGGGTTCCCTATTCCCCACTTTAAATGAATGTTAAATATTGCTTGTGACCCAAAATACTTTTGCTTCTGCAGGTTTATATAACAAAGGATTTGTTTACCTGGATGTACCAATTTCTGATGACAGTTGCATAGCAGGTAGGTATATGTTAACATTTTCCACCGTTTTCTGAACATATCCTTATTCTTTGTAGAATTTGTACTCTACTCTCACTGATCTGTCTATGAAGGTATGGTGTTTATGGTCTCAACTTCAGGGATTTTAGGAACATCACTCAAATAAATTGGATACAGATTCTTCCACGAGCTTAGATCCTAGAATTTTTCAAAGAAGAATAATTTCTTTTATTGTAACACTGTTGAGGTGGCTTTATTAATTCATATTTTTGTGTATATACTTTATCAAAATATTAAAAATCCTAGGTAACTTCCCCCCTCTCCTCCAGGTGGAGGGCAGAGTGGAGACAGAGGCAGAGAGCATGTGTGTGCCCAGCTTCTGCGTAGCCTTCACGGCTGTCTAGTAGTCTTCTGCTTCTGTGTTTTCGTCCACTCACTCCTCTTGCTGGTGAAACATCAGTAGTGCATTATTGCAGGCTCTTCCATGCTGAAGTCACCCTGCTTCCTTTCTTTACCTTTCTACCAAGTGTGCACCCTCTAGCATTCCCTCTGCCTTATTGAATTCTTGAGAGTTTCATGGTGAATTCGGTAACTTTGTAGGTTTTATGTAGTAGACTATCAGTCCCCTCTTTGTGAAGGAATGTTGTAAATGTTCTTACTTGGGGAGTTTTAGAAAACTTGCTAAGAAGTGGATAAAATGAATCAAAGCTGAATTCAGGTTATGCTCTAGAGGCTTGTCTTTTTATACAATCTGAAGAGAAACCAGAGTAGAGAGGCTTGTCTTTCTGAGTAGAAATTTGAATTATCTTTTCTTGTTTGGTATAATTATCTGACTAGAAGAGTCTTTATTTCCTTTCTTTTAGTTCCTCCTCTTGAAGGTTTTGTGATGAATCGTGTGCAGGGGGATTACTTTGAAACACTACTCTATAAGATCTTTGTTTCCATAGATGAGCATACTAATGTTGCAGAGGTAAGTGTGGCAGTACACTCTTATGTGAGAGAGTAGTTTCGTGATTATAGAGACAGTTTATGTAAGCTAGCTAAATGGCTGGCAGCTAAATGGCTGGCAGTAGTACAAATAGATCAGGGCTTGACTCTTAATTGAAAGGTTGATGGTTCAACCCAGCTGCTCCTAATTCTCCTTCCATAAAGACTGTAGCCAGGAGAACGCTGTGGAGCAGTTCTCTTCTGTCACGGGGGCTGTTAGGAGTGGGAATAATTTTACCTACTTTGCAAAGTAGGTAAAATTAATGTGTTTTCAGCATATCATAAACCATTAATTTACTTAACTTTTTAAATTATTTCTTAACTTGCTTCCTGATATGATAAAATATTTCAAAATTAATTACTTTTGTTATTGTTAGGTACAATTTGAGTCTGAGACGACCTATAGCTGACCCTCCAGCGGCTTTTCAGAGGCAATTAATTGAATGGGAGGAGATTGCCCATCTTTATCCTACAGAGCACCTGGTGGATTCAAACCACATTCCTCTGAGTTGGGAGTACAGCTCCTTAACACTAGGTCACCAGGGCTCCCTAATTACTTATAATTTTTTTTAATGTAGACTACATTGATCAGTCTATGAATTTTCTTTTATGGAATTTTACATGATTATTGTCACTATGATAGAGAAAGATAAAGCTCTGAATTATTTATAACTTAAAATTATACTAGTATTTATGTTTATAATAAATACATAATATATTACCTGTGTAATATATTGATAGTATTAAGAATCTAAAAGTAATTGAAACTTTTATTTCCAGCTTGCAAATGTCCTTGAGATAGACTTATCCCTAGTGAAGGTATGTTATTTTTATCTGCTTCCCTTTCTAATTTGGATACCAAATGGGTTTTATTGATGTGTTTTTGTCTTGATAAGCTACTGAGAATCTGAGACATTGAGAGTGTCATTATTTCCCTTAAGCTACTAGAGACTTGTTTCTAGAATCCAGTTGTTCTGTGGAATGCTCTGGATTTAGGGAATAAAATTGCCTGTTCTCTTAAATTTACTATGACTGCCTCCTGTGATTCCCCCAGGCTCCCTTAGCTCCTAGATTGCTATTGTTCTTAGGTGTATTGAGGAGCTCTGGTTTGATGAAGGCACCTAAGACTTTCTGACTCTTAAATGTCCAGTTAACCTTGTACCTTTTAAGATTTTTAGCAAAGAACTGTCTCTTGGGAATCATGATCGAAAATGTCAGACCATTTCATTTGTGCTCAGTCAGTGCTTATGTTGGATTCTGGTAAAGTTGGATTGGAGTAAATGGACACTTAACAGTGCCTCCTGCCTATCCACCCCTAACCCTGAACATATAGGACAGGGATCCAGAGCTTTGAGTAGCATGAGAGAAGTTCTGCAAAAATGGAAAAGAGCAAGGGCCGAAAGGGCCCCTGAATTAGAACGTAACCCATGGGATGAGAGTGCGTGCACACGTCTGCACGTAGGAAGCACTCTGGTCAGCCTTTAGTCATGAGGCCGAAGTCGGAGAAGTGGAAGCATTCCTTCTCCAACTTGGACGAAGCCCTGAGGAAGAGCAGGTCTGCTGAAGGGACTATTCCTGGTTGTGGGGTAAAATGTGTGAGAATCACTATAAACATAACCTGTTACAAAAAAATACTTTTACGTCTTAGTTTTTGAGTAGTGATTTCCTTTATATTCCTTCCAGAATGCTGTTTCAATGTATTGCCGACTGGGCTTTGCCCATAAGAAGGGACAAGTAATAACTTTGGATCAACTTCATTCATCGTGGCGGAATGTTCCATCTGTAAACAGATTGAAGTAACTCATTTATTTTTGTTATAAAATATTAGAGTATCCTTGAGAGAAAAAGAAAGAAGGAAATTTTACTTAGCCTGTTAGTTGAGATGAATCCTATATATCAGCCATTTTTGCTCTTCTCTGTGTGGTGCATCTTTGGGCAATCTAATGAGATCTAAATATTCTCTTCCTGGGGGGAAAAACACATAGGCTATTTCATGTATGATTCTGATGGGTTCTTGAATTCCCTGAAGCCTTTGTATGGCTGGTGAATCTTTGGATTATGTCTTAAGTTCAGGCTTGAATGTAAAACTGGATTCATAAGATTGCTTACAATTTACTAATTTCATTAACTATTTTTATGTAATTTTTTAAAAAAGAAATTTGTTCTTCACTCCTAGGAGTACTTTCGATCCACAAAAGATGCTCCTGTCGTGGGATGGTGGGGGAAGTAGGAGTCCTGTCCAAGAAGTTTCATCGGCTACTGACACCGACACAAACAGTCAGGAAGATCCTGGTGAGAAGGAACTCGGTTTAATTTAGAGTCTGCTACAGCTACTACTTATGCCTTCTGTTCTGTGCCATCACGTCGGAACCAGCTCAGGGCCGGCCCTCCAGGCAGTTAATCTTATTGGAGATTTCTCATTTTTCTCCTGTGGAGCAGCTAGTGGGTTCAGGTCACAAACGTTTGGGATTGAAGTTGAGCTTCTTAACAGTAGGCCTTTAGATTTCGTGTGTGTGTGTGTGTGTGTGTGTGTGTGTATGTATGTATGTATGTATCTCTAGCTATCTAGGCCATTAGAGTTCCCGTGTGTGTGTGCGTGTGTATCTCTAGCTATCTAGGCCATTAGAGTTCCTCTGTGTGTGTGTGTGTATCTCTAGCTATCTCCAGAGCATTTACACTCCTAACTTAAAATTGCTTTATATAGATTTGTTTTAGTATTCCTTCAGTATGCAGTCTCTGAGTACTTAGCCATACGTTGGACACTGTTAGCTTATGTCTGGGAAATATAAAATTGGCGTGTATATGGTAGTTTTTATCTGTGTATGAATGGTGTAAGAAGAGAAGGTAGTGTAACAAAAAAAAAATCCTCCATCAGTGGAAGAAGTAGTATGGTGCTTGTGGGAGCAAAGAGAAGAGGCAAGACTCCTTACATGTGGTAAATTAGAGACGCTTTTGTGGAGAAGAAATATTTAAGGCCGCGCTAAGTTAATGAGCTTAAGAACTCATTAATCTGAGTTGTCTTGGTTTACTGTGAATTTTTAAGGAATTTACTGCAAAGTAAATAGTAACATTTAAAAACCCCGTAAGCCTATAGAATAGGTTGGACCTTTTTTAGCTATGATTATATTATGTATTTTCTAATTAGCAAATAAAGCCAAAGTAGAAAAGCTTTTCATTCTAAGTGATGGCAAAAATAATTTTTATCTGCTTGACTTTAAAAGATGATTTTCCCCCCTTTTAGCTGATACAGCCAGCATATGCAGTTTGAATCTGCCTACAGGATATACTAAGCGTATCGCATTCCTGTTTGATTCAACTCTTACTGCCTTTTTAATGATGGGAAATCTTTCACCAGTAAGTCAGATTAATTTTTTTTAATATGATAATGCTTAAAATTAAGATAGAAAATAATTTATTGTTTTTGTGTAAATTTTTTAAGTACACTTGCCCATTAGAACAAGAAGGGAATTAGGGCCATTGGCTTTAGGTTGCTAGTAGTTAAGTCTGGGCAGTTAGAGCTTTCCATGGACTTGCTGCTGTTGGCCAGCAGCAAATAGTGAACACCAGTGCATATATGATGAGTATTGTATACACAAAGACATCTTCAGTGCATGCTAAAAAGTTCCTTTGTAAAAAGTACATACTTTCTTCAAGCTGGTCAAGGTCTCACAGATTGCCTTTTCTTGTTCACAGTGACCCTTACTCTCTCTGGGTTAATGACTTGAGGTGACGGGCAGTCACAGCGGTAGGCCTCAGTCTTGGTCCTTACCAAGCAGCCCACCTTCTTGATGTCATGACTGTGCTGCCTCGGAGCATTTCCAGCATCACTAGTGGCACTTGGGTCTGATGGTGTAGTTCAGGATTTACGGTATCACATTAATCACAGTAAAAACAATCACGGAGAACCCCACGAGAGCCAGCACTTTTTACTGTAGTATGCGGTTCACTAGAGAGACGAACTGTTCATGCACAAGTGGTTAGTGCCTCATGGAGTGTTTTTAAAGAATCTCTGCATGTAAATAAATAGAAATAATTCAGGAGTTCAGCTGTGCTAGATTTATTCCTGAAAATGCAAATGAGTTTAGTTTACGTTCTTTCTTAATCAAACCAGACCTATGGCCATCAAGTTGAATTCTGACTCACAATTTCGGGTCATGCTCGACCCAGCACTATTGACTTGATTTTGACTCTTGGCAGCATTCCATTGCATTTCCAAAGCTGTACATCTCCATCTGAGCAGATGGCCTCATCTTTGTCCCCCAGAGTGACAGTGACCTCGCACACTGACGGCGCCCCTTAGGTTTAGCAGCCCAACCCTTAACCTGCTGGGACACTGGGGTCCTGTAGCAACCCTGGAGGACAGAGTAAAGCTACTCCAAAAGCTGCAAATCTCTGTTGAAGCAGATAGCTTCCTCTTCATTCTGTGAAACAGTTCAGGGATCCGAACTACCAACTACCGAGTTTGCATGTAAGGGCTTGACTCTGTGTCATCAGAGCTCTTCATTACATGTCCTTGAGAAGTGTCATTTATAGAGAGTAACTTTTATAATTTGAAAGGTCCTTCCCTTCATTTCATTTACTCATAAGTTTAAATGTATTGTAAAGTATAATGTGAATGAAAGATGTGATTCTAAACAGGAAAAGGGAAAACTAGATCCTTAATGAAAATGTGGATGGTGTAAATTTTAGTCCTTTGTATTTTTTCGTGTTTTCAGAACTTGAAAAGTCATGCAGTCACGATGTTTGAAGTTGGCAAGCTCTCAGATGAGTCTCTGGACAGCTTTCTTATAGAACTGGAAAAGGTAAATCTGTAGTCTTTTTCACTCTTACTCCTGTACCCACTGTAATACTGTGACAGTATTTACACTTAGACAGAGTAGATGAATTAATTTTGTGAATTTAAAGTGATATGTTTACCTCATCTAACACAGTGTAATGTACTAATGAAGGAGGGATTTCTAGACATTTTTTGTGTGACTTTGAAAAGAGATTTTTCTTAAGTAACCTTGCGTCTTTCTTTGCTATAACTCTAGGGCTACCTCTTAAGCAGTTTTAGTTTAAATTTCCTTTTTTTAAATTACTTTTTGTGTGTGTACCGTCAAACTGGATCTGACTGGTACAGGAGGAGATTGCCCCTCCTCCAGCAGAGCATCTGGTGGATTCGAACCGTGTATCTCTGGGATTGCAATGTAGCTTCTTGCCACTAGGCATCCAGAGTTCCCTAGCAGTTTTAGTTTAAATTGTGTTCTATTTATTTTAATTCTGAAACAATCCCTGAATGTCAGCATTATTTATGTCCACTCTCAACTCTCCCGTTTGCTCTTGACTGCGTTTCTCCCTGTGACTTCAGCCCTGCTTTTTCTTGGTGCTACATTTGAATTAACCCGTCACTGGTGTTTTTTATTCCCCTAGTATTTCTTCTTTCATATTCTTCCTTTCTAAATTCAGTTTTTGCACTTTGATTAATTTTTTGGTGCCTTTTCTGCTTTACTATTGAATGGTTCTATTTAGAGAATTTGCAGTTTTATAAAGGTTCTATAATTCCCTCATTTCTTAAAAAAAGAAAAAGCGGCTGCAGTTGTTGTTGTTATGAACCATCCAGTTGGAGCCACTCATAGCTGACCCTCCATCAGGTTTTCAGAGGGAAGAAATTGCACAGGAAGAGATTGTGTATCTTTTTCTCATGGACCAGCTGGTGGATTTGAACCACGTGCCTTTGGGTTGGCAGGGTCCTTACTACTGAGTCTCCATAGGTTTTAATTCAATTTTTTAATTCTTGGAATAATTCTTATTAAATGATCTGTTTCTTATTGTGCATCACCTTTTACCATATTTTAGCACATTTTGAGTTATGGGTTTCTCATTTTTCATTGACTCATCTCAATGTCATTTATCAAATTATAAGACTATGATAAGGTTTTTTATTCATTTGTATATTTGTATTCTTTTTACTCCACATACCATTCTTGGAAAAATCTTTTAACTTTGGAAGTTTAGGTTTTGAAACTAGTTTCTTACCTATTTTATTAGAAGCCCAATCTTTTTTTAAAATTTTATTATTTTTACGTATGTGTACCGTCAAATCAGATCTGACTGGTACAGGAGGAGATTGTCCCTCCTTCCTCGGCAGAGCATCTGGTGGATTTGAACCGTGCACCTGTGGGATTGCAGTGTACCTCCTTGCCACTAGGCCACCAGAGCACCCCTAGAAGCCCAATCTTGATCGTACTCAACTGATTGCTCTTGTTAATTTAGGAGACAAATTTAATTCCGTTACTGCCTTTCTTTCTAATGGCGCTGATTTCTGCATTTCTGGAATGTATATGCTTTACATATTGATCATGTGGCGGAATCTTTTAGAAGGTTATGCATTAAAATAAAAGTCGAGTGAGGGCTGTAGTTTTGCATATCCCTTAGACAAGTCACAGCCCACAGTATATAGCTCTCTTAAATACTTACTGGATGAATATAAGCTGTGTTTTGAGAACGAGTCGAGTGATTCTGTTACTTCCTGTGTTCTAGTACTCTGTGAATACTCCAGTGTTCTCTTGAGTATTTTGGTATCTCTCATGATGAACCTGTTACTGAAACCACTTGCCATTAAGCTGATTCTAACCCATTCAGCCACTTTACAGGACAGAGTAGAACTGCTCAGTGGGATCCCCAGGCTGTAGTCTTTGCAGGAGCAGACAGCCACATCCTTCTACTGCACACTGCCAGCCTTCAGTTAGTGGCCAAGTGCTGAGCCACTGTGCCACCGGAGCCCCTTGTCCTTGTAACACAAAATTATGTCCAGATTACTCTGAATTAGAGATATAATTAGTGACCATGGATTGGAGATCTTTTCTGAAGGAAGCGGTATATGGATCTTACAGAGTTTAAAAATTTTTTGTCACCCTCTTTGAATTATATATAGGCTGTGTATAAATGGTTATAATTTGTGTAAGTGGTATATTTAACATTATATACTTTAATAAATGTAATAGAATTGGAAGCTTATGCTAAATTGAGGTTAATATTTGCTTTGGTGTCACCTGAGCAAATTTAGTTTGGTTATTGTTAGTACAGTTGTACTGTGCTGCGTCGCACCATATAGTGTGACCAGCATGCAGGGGGTATTGTTGTGTGCTGTTGAGTCACCTGAGACTCATACTGACCCTATAAACAACAGCCCTACACCCTGCTCTATCCTGTGCCAATCTTACTGTCTCCAACACACTTATCCCCATTACCCCAGTGAATGAATCAGTCTGTCTCATTGAGGGTCTTCCTCTCCTGTAAGATGTCCCTCTCCAAGGACTGATCCTGCCTTGCAACATGTCCAAAAGTATGTCAGACGAAGCTTCAGAAACCATGCCTCCATCAGCAGGAAGTAGCTAAGAGAATACGCCGTCCCCTTTTCCTTATGACTCAGGGTGAAGTCTCTCTCAGGGAGGAGTGATAGGGAATGGCAAAGGATA